CTCGCCCCCCCCCCCCCCCCCCACGCCCCAGATTCTCTCCCTCATCCCACTGGCAGGGGGGAGTGAGCGAGTGGCCGTGTGGTGTTTAGCTGCCTGCCAGGTTAGACCACGACAGTTCCCCACAAACCTCCTCTGCTGTCCACCAGCAGCACAGCAGGCTGCATGGATCCATGGCGTGGCTGAGGACCATACACTTACGCTGGCTGAGCCGCTCCTTTGTTAATAAACAGACAGAACAGCTCCTACTGAAATTAATAGTTGAGCCCCATCCTGCAACTCAAAACACGTACACCACCACATGATGCAGCACTAACGAGGCAACACTTCAGCACTGTAACCCTCCCTGATAAACTACCCCTCACTGGTATGAGTCTGATACATCCTTCTGCCAAGCCAAGATAAGAGACAGAAGACCAACGAGACCCCACCTATTAGAGACACTGACAAATCTTCAATACCCTTCCACTGTGTAATTACAAATCTGCCCTTGCACGTTCTCATATTTAGGGAAAAGTAAACTGACATATTAAATAACTGAACTGTGGTGTGACCAGCATCATATTCTCCTACTATCTATCGGCTGACTGTTTTCTTTCCTCCTCACCTACTCCAAATATGAATTCAAGACAGGAGAAGAAAAATAAACCAAATGCTACTTGTTATCTGAACTAAGGATGTGCTAACACGACTTACTTGCAATTTTACTGGTTACCTCACCTTTGTTTAAGATTATCACTTCCTCAGGTAGAGCGCAACAACCCACCATAACATCAAAGACATACTGATGTTCACAAACATATTGATGTTTACTCCACACTGCAATGGGTTCAGGAGTGCACAAACATGAGTTGATCATCTCAGATGAGAAGCATCCCTTTGCACAAACATAAGCAAATCCCACAAGTACGCCTTAAGGAAAGAATTAGTCTCATTCCTTTTTTGAAGGAATGAAATAGAAAATACATCCTCAAAGAAACAGGCTGAGGTGCACATTACACTTTCATATAAATGCTCTCCCTCTCTCTAGCGGCCATTTCAACTAACCCTTCTTGCAATGCTCATGAAGCACAACTATTATTTTTTCATAGGCTGCCATTTGATTTCAGCATCATCTTATGGATTTATCCTCTCATCCTCTTCTTCAGACAAAGATTTTTTTTGCAGGCTTAAACTCTAAAGAGAGGAAGCATGCAGATCTGGCAACTACTCTAAAACAGGGGAGGGCTTGTTTGCGTCTTCAGAGTTTCTTGCTTGTGGGAAACTAAAAGAAAACCCACCGCGTGCCAAGATACCCCCAAGTGAGAGGTGAAAAGCAAAGCAGAAACCATGACACATATGAAGGAAGTCTCACCTCTGCTGCCATGAAAGCCAACGTGTGCATGCCATGGGTGTAGCCAATAATACCACAGACGACTGCTAATCCACAGCAGGACAGGAGCATGGCTATGAGCAGGGTCAGGACTCTGATGTGGCTGCTCATGGGTGTGGTAGGAGAAAAGGAAAGCTGCAACACAAATACGTAACAGGTTTAAAGGAGTACTTCATCCACCTTATCTTCCACAGTCACCTCACCAAACAAGTCCTCATTCAGGAAAATCTTTTGCTTTCTAGAATAAAACAAATTTCACGACCTCAACCACGCAATGTTAGTAATGATGCACAATAAAGCTAGAACCACACACCATCCCAAAGTCTCATTCATCTTGCTGTCATTTACATTCACCAGGCTTCTAAAGCTAGAAGGAATCACTGCAAGAGAACCATGGACACTTCCTCATACAGTAGTTTCTGCATCAAATCCACAGCATCTGCTTAGGAAGAACATGCATTTTAGAAAGACACCTAACCTTAATATACAGTCTTTGAGCAATGAGAATAATTGTTCTGCCAGTTTTTCACCTTACAGCTGATCTGAATTTGTCCAGCTTTATCTTCCAGCCTCTAGTTCTTCCAATGTCATTTTCTTCTGGAAGAAAGATACATCTCCCCAAAAAATTTAACTTGCAGCTAGAGACTGCTGGGCAGAATCTAGTGAAAACAGTTGGCTCATTCAATAGCATATATATAGCGTATTAATTTTCTAAACTACCTTAATGGTAAGCTACACCTAGGCTGTCTAAATCAAAGACGACCCAAGAGGCAAAGTATTTAGGTTGTCCAACCCCTTATTTTCAGGGCAGGAAGGGGAAGAACAGGACACAGAAAGAGGGAGTTGCCCAAAGCTTCACTCTGGTCTGACTGATGAAGTTGACCCCCATGTTTTGTTTTTAAATTGGTTCTTTCTTCCTTGTTTATATCTGGTTCAGTTCCACATCCCCCCGAGTTTGCAAGGCAGATCACACAAGTACTATTTGTCCAAGTTAAGAATTACAATACATGCTTTGAATGCAGCAGGAATATAATAAAGATTTCTTCCCACATGAGCTTTGTTCTTTCACAGCTTTCTGAACAACACTAAAAACACCAGATGACTGCCTTGTTCACCCCTGTCTCAAGTTTTCCTAACTCCAGCCAATCTAGTTTCAAGCTTAGTGCTTAGCTACTTGTGAATTAACAGGCCTTACTGGATATTAATGAAAAAAACATATCGCAAAGCACAGAGCTACCAAAAGGAAATTCATGGATTCAATTTAGTTCAAACTTTTATTCCAGGACAGAGGAGCTGAGGAAAATGCACGTCCATTATAGACGTTTAAAGATTTACTGTTCAAATTCCAGTTCCTTCTTCCTTGCCTAGACTTCACTTTTTGCATCTCTACTGAATTTATTCCTGGTATTAACAGAAACCAAGATACAGCTTATGGAGAAAGTGGCACTGTACGTTGTAAAGATAGCAGTCAAAATTTGATAGATGTAAATGAGCTTGAAACCTCAGCACAGAATCCGCAGAAGCAGGCTTTACAGACCAATACCAAAGGGCACCAATCTAAGGGATGCCTATGCAGATGCAGATGTCTATGAAGACATCTTCTGGACTTATGTAATAGTAATTACAGGGCACGTATAAGGAGCAATTTATCAACGAAAATAAGTATCTTCAGCTCCATTTGTCTGATGAGAAAACTGAAGGAGTAAGATTGACATTGCACTTTAAAGCAAGTATTTGAAGCTACTGGGAGGTGCACATGTTCAGCACCACAGGGTGGGGAAAAGGTCTAAATGATCTGTTTGTAACCTATCATAAGTAAACTATCATCAGTGTCCAAACCAGAAACAGAATTTGCATGTCCCAAAAGACAGCCCTTAATCAAAACTTACATATTCAAAGCGATCCTTGCAGAGCTGAACCATAAGATGAAGAAACACAAGTCCAGAGAACCAGAGGCACCACATCACCACTTCTTCCACGGTCTGAACATTCAGCACACCAAAAATGAAGATGAACTTGTAGAAAATGAAATTCCAGAATTTATCCTTGAGATGCTGTGAAGGAAAACATTTGGTTACTGTAGTGAAAGTACTGACAGTCCACATGCAGGGGAGAGAAGGAGGGAAAAAGAAAAAAAAAAAGATGGAAGTAGAAATGCGACAATACGTTAGCAAAAGCCTGGTACATACAAATCTTGAATAGTGTTTGTTACCCTTACTGAATTAAAAACATATTAGAAATATTAGACTATCTAGTCTTTTGTACCACCGCAGCATAACTTTGCAACACAGCACACAACGTAGTTTCCTGCCATATTTCTAAAACAGTGCTTAGCACAAACCCAAGTTTGACCTCAGTTTGATTTTCCATGCCCAAGCAGGACAGCTACTGTGTCCTCTTTGCTAGAAAAACCACCGCAGTTAGTTAGACAAGATGCCCAAATAGCCTAGCACCTTGTTTCCAAAAACCTGTCAAAAAGTACAGATGATTAAGAAAAGATGACAAAGTCTGCTCTTAAAGAGCATAATGCCTACAGTAGAGAATTAGATGGATGAGCAATGAAAAAAAGTTATTCCCACGCACAGGCAGTATGAAAGAAACACTATGATGGTCTCAAGCAGCAGATAGCAAGTCAGCTTTTTGGGGATAAAAAAAATTATGAAATAAAATGTTTTGTTAAAGAACATGATGAAATCACCAGGAGTTTAGTTAAGACAGGCCCAGAATTCCTTTGTGATGCTGCCATTTTTGGCTCGCCAATACTAATAACCAGCTTTTCTTTACATGAGAATTGAAGCATACTCCCACTGTCCAAACGCACATGGATCCACACTGTTACTGCTTTTTACTTGCGTTTTTAAGAGAGTAGAGAACATCCTGGAAATTATCACTGGTTAAAATTCTACATCCTTACAGTCAACATGGACTGGAAAGAAAATCTAGCCCAATGCAGTTTGAGAGTGCCTTGTTTTTAATACACTTCACTCAGAGGCTCTATGGGTATGAATCACAAATAGGCTTTGAGAGATCCACGGCTATTAATGAAGCTTTAAGTGCCTCAGTTCTGCATGTCACAAATCCTCATTTTTCCTAAAGAACGGCATTTACACACTTTTTTAAATACATGAACACACTTCAAACCACTGCTACTGCATTTACACAGAGCAACTTACACATTTCCCTTTCTTTTAAAAAAAAAAATTCTACAGATACTATTCAAACCACTGCTGCTGCTTTTATCTTCTGCAGAATCCTGTTCATAAAAACCTGGGCTTTAATAGTCCTCTTGCTGAACTTTTAAAAACATTCTCACCTAGCCCAAGAGCAGGACTAAACAGTTTGAGTTTTCAGCCCTGCTTACTCCCTCATAAACCTGAGGGCAGATAAACCATCCATTCAGGGTCTGAGGATGGAAAGCACTTCTCCAGCAGTCAAGGCAGAAAACAAGGTGCAAGAGGGAACTCAGACTGCCAGTGCTGATAACTAACTATAAAACGCAACAGAGAAATGCTGCCAAGCACCAGCTGAATAGAGAAGAACACTTTATAAATATTCTGAAATGAGGGCGCACTTGTATGAAATCTGACAAAGTTCATTAAGGAAGCAGGATTTTCAAGTTGACCATAGGCTTACAAAATACAGTAGCAACAATGAAAAAGAAAAGTTCCCTTCAGAAATAAACTGGAAGCTTGTGGCTGTGGATATCCTAGCTAACCGTGGTTTCTTGGGCAGACTGTTTTCTATATGGTTTTATTGGACAGTATTTTCAAAGGCAAGAAGTATAACAGTAAGACTGAAGTTGTTCCAAAATTTACTTTTCTTGTGTACCTTCAAGCAATTCCATATAGAAAACCACACCAGTTGTACACCAAGAAATTATGAAACACCACAGATATCCAAGGCAACAAATAGCTGTCTTACCTGCCTCTCACTGACACGAAGAGGACCAAACACCATACACTGGATTAGCTTAGCAACCAACATCAGAAAACAGCAGGCGGTGTTCACTAGTACCTGGAAAGAAATAAAGCAGTCAGCAACAAATACTTTTGCTCTGTTTAGAAAAAGAGCAAGAGAAAGGGAAAGAACGAGTCTAACAAAACCTACCATTGCTCACAGAATAGTTTTAGCTGCTTTTTTTTTTTTTTTTTTTTGTGAAATTTAAGCCTGGCCTCTTCCAAGACAACGTACAGTAGTTGATAAGTCACTTAACTTTTTTCTGGAAATACTAACATGGCCAGTTTGATACACCAGTATATCCAACAAACCAACCTACCTCTTCACAATAAATTGTTTTATATAGATTAGCAAATATTAGCACCAAGGAACATGAGGACAAAACTTAGAGATCACCAAGATGCTCATTTTGTTTAACATATGGCAGATGAGACAACTCCAGTTTGAATCTGTTGTTACAAGAACAAGATTCAGACATTGTCTCGAAACATACTGAATAACACACACCGCTTTTGTAACAACACTGCTTAAATCCTTCTTGCGAAAATGCTTTAAAGCAAAGCAGCAAGGAGCAGAATACACGGGCCTGGGAAAACTGCTTCTCACATTTGCCAAAGACACTTGTAATTAACTTTTGACCTACGCAGAATACTAAAAAGGGGGGGGGGAAGATGAAGCAGCCTCACCCTGTCATTTCTAAAGGACATACAATAAACTTTTTCAGGGCTCTTAATTTAAGGTCCTGAGACCAAGTTTCAACAGGCTGAATGTGCTCAGTATATTAAAAAATCAGCACCTCAGTCAAGCAAGCACATTGTAAAGCAAGTGTCCAATTAATAGCACTTTTGACTGACAGACACATAAAAGTGCAACAGCTCAGCTAGGTTTTTGATATCCCCTTGTTGAGCCTTTATTTCAGCTACAGAAATTACTGAGCCAAGATTCAAATACCATTGCCTGGTTTGGGTTTCAAGAACTACAGAAAATTCTTTTCATTTTTTTTCCTTTAACGGTGATAATGCTTCCTCTTACCTGCATGACTTTAAACGTTATTTTAAAAAAAAGAAAAAAGAAAAAAAAAAGGTAAAGCTTGGGCTTGCACACCTCATGGTGTCTTACAAACATTTCTAGCTGAGCAGGACACGCAGTGCTCCGAGAAGTGCAGGTGCAGCACCCACCAGGCACCGCAGCAGAACACTCCCAAGAGCTTCACCCAAAACCCACCCATGGCGAGAGGGGGACGCTCAGGGACAAGCAGGAGCACCAAGCTCCACTTCAGGGCGCTCGGCTTTAACGCAGCCCTGTCACCCTGCCGGGGAGGGAAGGAGGGAAGGAAGGCAGGAAGGCAGGCGGGCGGGCGGGCAGGCAGGCAGGCA